AGTCGTCTTGGTCCAGTGGTAATGATGGACTCACAGCTGTGAGTATCGCCATCAGGGTTCGAGTCGCCTTGGCCACTTAGCTACGTCCTTAATGATGGGATAACGCGTAACCGAATGCAAAGCCAGATTGGATTAGTCCTTGGGCCTAGAAAGCTTTTAGGAAACCAACTTAAAAAAAGGCTGTTATTAATGGTAAAGGCAGTATTAAAGAGTGTGAACAACAAGATAGCAAGAAGGCCTAAAATAGAAGATGTGGGTCTCCACTCATGTGATGTTGATAAGGCCCAAAACAACAAAATTCCACATTGCAAACCAACTCTCGGGTATGAGAAGAAAACAAACCTGAAGCTTGCAAAACAGAAAAAACGAGTACAACGTTCTCCAATCACAGAGAAATGACTCATCACTGATAGTTGTACTGCATAAGAACGAGATTATTCCACATGTGAGATCTCAAAATCACACAGTAATAGTAAGATAAGAGATGTGAGTTTAGGAGAGACTCTCTATTAGATCAACCAAAGTTTAAGATGGTACATGGGGTGATTCGTCTCGACGAGAAGGCTTGAGGAGATGAATACAAAAAGAATAAAGAAACTAAGAATAAAGAACAAATTATAACTAGGTGATATGATCATGGAGGAGGTTGCTAGGAACTTGGACCAGGAAGCAGCTGGAGAGCTTGTAGCTGAGGAGGAGCAGCTTGAACCTGAGGAAGCTTGACCATACCAACTGGTCCAGTTACAAGGTCCAAACTAAGTTGCTCAACCAAGACATTGGAAGAGTACTTAGCCGTTTGAGTCGGCAGATCAGAGCTTAAGCATTCCACTTGGTTTGTTTGAAGCCCAACACTTGGGATAAAGAAGCAAGTGGTTCTTAGTGTGCTCTTTTTCCCTGCCAAGGTTTTGTCCCTTTGGGTTTTCCTTGGTAGGTTTTTAATGAGGCCTAAGACCCACTTCCAAATCCTCTTTGCTCATGTTGTTTGGGTCCGGCCCAACTCTTCTTCACTTAAATCTTGCCGCCCAGCATGAGAGTCTCTTTTTTTCAAACTCATTTATTTTTTGTTTCATTTTCGAGATGGTCATGGAGCTGTTCCATTGACTCATCTCTCTCTCTTCTCTCTTCTCTCTCTCCTTTATATGTTCTGGACGAATCTTCCCTTTGTTTTATGCAATCTTTAATCAAAACTCTTTTGTTTATCATTCTTAGTGTGTAATATCTAAATCCTTAGTCTTCTTGGTGTGTCATATCCTTAAGAGAAGCCTTGTCCATCTCTTGGTGTGTAATATCCTTGAGATCAACAAGTTGGTGTTGAGAGATCCTTCCGCAGATCTCTTGTTATAGCCATTCGATCATCCCTCTCATCCATCATCACGCCACATTCCATCAAGTTCATTCCATCACTCCATCTCATTCAATACTTGCTTCAAAGTGCCGATCTAACAGGGGTCTATCAAGTGGTATCAGAGCCACTTTGAAGCTAAGTACTCTCTCCTTTGTTTTATTTTTCGTTTTGCATCTTCATTTGTGACTGTTCATCTTCTAGATCTGGCGAGTTTTGGCAATTTCAATTATTTGCACAATTTTAAAATATTGTCATAATTAATCCTGATCATCTCACATAGATCTATCCATCTACTATTTTTCCCATATTTTTAGAAATTGTTTGCATAATTTCTAAAATTATTTCTTGATCTTTTCCTTTGAACTCTAACTGCCGAGTTCTTTCTGTTGTTTCAGGTACTATGGCGGATGGAAAGGAAGATGAAGAGGATTCGAACAAGAGTCTCTCAGCCTGAACAGATGAAAATCAAGAAGCTCATGAGGGATGAGTTTGACGGAGGGAACAAATTAAGGCAGGAAAGCGCAAAGAGTCTAGAGATCCATCCATATCTCGGATGAGGAGGGAGGAACGACCCTATGGCCTCAAGAAGGATGGCCGATGAGCAAGCCAATGCTTACTACAACAGTGGCCATTCCTCTCAAGGAAGCGGCGCCGCTCTAGAAGGCATCGCGATGATCCAGACCGCATGGTCGAAAATCTTGGAGGATACAAGATCCGGATTCCCCCTTTCCATGGCAACAATCCTGATGAGTACATGGACTGGGAGAAGAAGTGTGAGTTCAACTTCAACTTACACAACATATCCAACATCAACAGAGTCAAACTGGCGGTCTCTGAGTTCAATGACTATGCCCTAAGGTGGTGGGAACAAGTCGTGACCGCAAGAGAGATTGGTGGAGCTCTTGAGGTCTCTACCTGGGAAGAGATGAAAAGGATCATGAGGCAGAGGTTCATTCCTAGCTATTATCAGAGAGAGCTACATTCTAAGCTCAGGAGGCTCACTCAAGGGTCCAAAAGTTGAAGAATACTTCCAGGAGATGGAAGTGATGTTGAGGGCTAATGTGATTGAGGACAGAGAAGCCACTATGTCCAGGTTCCTTGGAGGGCTCAACCGAGATCCAAGATTGTGGAGATGCAAAACTGTGTGGGCTTGAGTCTATGCTACACAAAGGCCGTTCTGGCTGAGCAACAGCTCAAGAGAAAGACCACGCATGGAGCTGATCAGCGCAGGCCGATGCCAGAGACTCCAAACCGGCTTTCACACCAAAAGAGCCAAGAGGAACCTTCTTACAGTCAAGACAAGGACAAGAACAAGTCCAGTCAACTCTGCCCTAGAGCCCGCTTAAGTGCTTCAGTGTCAAGGCTTTGGACACTATGCCATGAATGCCGCAACAAGAAGATATGATTCATAAGAGACAATGGAGAAGTGGAGTCTGAGGAAGAAGTCTAGAGCAACCAGAGCAAGAGCCAGAGCCAGAAGAGTATGAGGCCGTTCCTGTCATGGGAAAGCTTCTGGTGCCAGAAGACTCTTGAGCGCTCAAGTCCAAACACACAAAGGAAGCAAAGAGAGAATCCTCTTCCATTCACGCTGTCTTGTCCAGGAGAAGGTTTGCAGTCTCATCATTGATGGAGGCAGTTGCACTAATGTGGCTAGTGAGGCCATGGTTGAGAACTTGGTCTTGTGACTCAGAAACATCCCAAGCCATATCAGTTACAATGGATCAATGAGACTGGAGATATGAGTGTGAAGGAACAGGTGGTTGTGCCACTATCTATAGGAAGCTATGAGATGAGATTTTGTGTGATGTCCTGCCTATGGATGCTGGACACATCATTCTTGGGAAGGCCTGGCAATCTGATAGGCGTGTGATGCATGATGGTTTCACAAACAAGTACACTTCCTTCACAAGGGGCGTAAGACCACTCTTATTCCCTTAACCCCTCAAGAGGTGTATGAAGATCAAGTCAGCTGAGCAGGCCAAAGACCAAACCTCAAGCCAAGAAGGAGCCACCAATCCCAAATCCTTGAACTATCTGGTCAAGTCCAAACAGGTTAAAAGTTCCATGTCTTCTGATAAGCCTTTTCTCTTTTTATCTTTAAAGGATCATTTAACCTCTTGTTGATAATGCACCGGAGATTCCGAGTGAGATGTCCAAACTTTTACAGGATTTCCAGGATGTGTTTCCAGATGATTGCCCAAGGATTGCCACCAGTCAGAGGCATTGAGCATCAAATAGACTTTGTTCCTGGATCCACACTTCCAAACCGTCCAGCATACAGAACCAATCCTGTTGAAACCAAAGAACTCCAGCGCCAAATTGATGAGCTTATGGACAAGGGTCACATCCGGGAAAGCATGAGTCCTTGTGCTGTTCCTGTTCTTCTTGTGCCCAAGAAAGATGGGAGTTGGCGCATGTGTGTGGATTGCAGAGCCATCAACAATATCACTGTAAAGTATCGACATCCTATCCCTAGACTTGATGATATGCTTGATGAGTTGCATGGTTCTAGCATTTTCTCTAAAATTGATTTAAAAAGTGGTTATCATCAGATTAGGATGAAAGAAGGTGATGAAGTGGAAAACTGCATTTAAAACTAAACATGGTCTTTATGAATGGCTTGTCATGCCATTTGGTCTCACTAATGCACCTAGTACATTCATGCGCTTAATGAACCATATCTTGAGAAACTTCATTGGTCATTTTGTTGTGGTTTACTTTGATGACATCTTGATTTACAGCAAGAACCTTGAAGAGCATCTAGATCACCTTGCATCTGTCTGTCTGTGCTAAGAAAAGAAAATTGTTTGCCAATCTTAAGAAATGTACTTTTTGCACAGATAATGTGGTTTTTCTAGGCTTTGTTGTGAGTGCAGATGGAGTCAAGGTGGATGAAGAGAAAGTTGCTGCATCAGAGAATGGCCAAGTCCTAAGACAGTGAGTGAAGTCAGAAGCTTCCATGGCCTAGCTGGGTTCTATAGGCGGTTTGTCCGTGATTTTAGTACCTTGGCCGCACCTTGACTGAAGTCATCAAGAAAGAAGTTGGATTCAAGTGGGAGAAAGCACAGGAGGATGCTTTCCAAGCTCTCAAGGATCGCTTGACTAATGCCCCTGTTCTTATTTTACCTGACTTCTTGAAAACTTTTGAGATTGAGTGTGATGCTTCAGGTATTGGCATAGGAGCTGTCTTGATGCAGGATAAGAAGCCAATTGCTTTCTTTAGTGAAAAGCTTGGAGGAGCCACTCTCAACTATCCAACCTATGACAAAGAACTCTATGCCTTGGTCCGCGCCTGCAAACTTGGCAACACTATCTCTGGCCAAAGGAGTTTGTCATCCACACAGACCATGAATCTCTCAAACATCTCAAGGGCCAAAAAGCTCAACAAAAGGCATGCCAGGTGGGTTGAATTCATTGAGACATTCCCATATGTCATCAAGTACAAAAAAGGTAAGGACAATGTTGTAGCCGACGCATTGTCCAGGAGGTACACTCTTCTCTCAACTCTTGATGCTAAACTCTTGGGCTTTGAACAGATAAAAGACTTGTATGATTCTGATTCTGATTTTGCTGAGATTTACAAGTCTTGTTCTAAATTTGCTTTTGGCCGATACTTAGACAAGATGGGTTTCTCTTCTATGAGAACCGTCTTGTGTGCCTAATTGTTCTTTGAGGGATTTGTTTGTCAGGGAAGCACATGGAGGAGGCTTGATGGGACACTTTGGTGTGGCCAAAACACTTCAAGTCATGCGTGATCATTTTCATTGGCCGCACATGATCAGAGATGTGGAGAGGATTTGTTCTAGATGTGCAACTTGTAAACAATCCAAATCTAAGGTTCAACCTCACGGTTTGTACACTCCTCTCCCTATTCCATCTCATCCCTGGACTGATATATCCATGGATTTTGTGCTTGGATTGCCTAGGACTAGAACTGGAAAAGATTCTATCTTTGTGATAGTTGATAGGTTCTCAAAAATGGCTCATTTTGTGCATGTCGTAAAACTGATGATGCATCTCATGTAGCTGCTCTGTTCTTTAAAGAGATTGTTAGATTGCATGGCATGCCGCGCACCATTGTTTCTGATCGTGACAAAGTTCCTGAGTTATTTTTGGAAAACTTTGTGGTCTAAGTTGGGTACTAAGCTTTTATTTTCTACTACTTGTCACCCTCAAACTGATGGCCAAACTGAAGTTGTTAATAGAACTCTTGGAACTTTGTTGCGCGCCTTGATTAAAAAGAATCTTAAAAGTTGGGATGATTGTTTGCCACATATTGAGTTTGCATATAACCATGCTGTGCATTCTGCTTCTAAGTTTTCTCCATTTGAAATTGTTTATGGGTTTAAGCCCATCTCTCCTTTGGATTTGATGCCTTTGCCTTTGAGTGAAAGATTAAGCACAGATGGAAAGCACAAGGCAGAGACAGTCAAGAAGATCCATGAGCAAGCCAGAAGGAACATTGAGGCTAAAACCAAGCAGTATGCTCAACATGCCAACAAGGGCCGAAAGGAATGTCTTTGAAGTGGGAGACAAGGTTTGGATCCATCTGCGCAAAGAGAGATTCCCGGCCGAGCGCAAATCCAAACTTATGCCAAGGATAGATGGACCATTTGAGATCACCAGAAGAATCAACAACAACTCCTACCAAATTGATCTCCAAGGTAAGTACAACATAAGTTCAAGTTTTAATGTTACTGATCTTTCTCCTTTTCTTGCAGATGAACCAGATTTGAGGACAAATCCTTTTCAAGAGGGAGGGGATGATATGATCATGGAGGAGGTTGCTAGGAACTTGGAGAGGAAGCAGCTGGAGAGCTTGTAGCTGAGGAGGAGCAGCTTGAACCTGAGGAAGCTTTGGACCATACCAACTGGTCCAGTTACAAGGTCCCAAACTAAGTTGCTCAACCAAGACATTGGAAGAGTACTTAGCCGTTTGAGTCGGCATGATCAAGAGCTTAAACATTCCACCTTGGTTTGTTTGAAGCCCAACACTTGGGATAAAGAGGCAAGTGGTTCTTAGTGTGCTCTTTTTCCCTGCCAAGGTTTTGTCCCTTTGGGTTTTCCTTGGTAGGTTTTTAATGAGGCCTAAGACCCACTTCCAAATCACCTTCTTTGTCTCATGTTGTTTGGGTCCGGCCCAACTCTTCTTCACTTGAATCTTGCCGCCCAGCATGAGAGTCTCTTTTTTTTCAAACTTTCATTTATGTTTTGTGTATTTTCCGAGATGGTCATGGAGCTGTTCCATTGACTCATCTCTCTCTCTTCTCTCTTCTCTCTCTCCTTTATATGTTCTGGACGAATTTCCCTTTGTTTTATCATCTTTTTATCAAAAACCTCTTTTGTTTGATCATTTCTTAGTGTGTAATATCTAAATCCTTATTGTTCTTAGGGTGTGTCATATCCTTAAGAGTTCTGAGCCTTGTTCATCTCTTGGTGTGTCATATCCTTGAGATCAACAAGTTGATGTTGAGAGATCCTTCTGCAGATCTCTTGTCATAACCATTCGATCATCCTTACTCTATCCATCATCACGCCACATCCATTCAAGTTCATTCCATCACCCCATCGTCACTCAATACTTGCTTCAAAGTGTCGATCTCAACAAGGATCTTATCACTAGGGTTTTGCCTCTCTGCTCTCAGTGATTGTAGAGAATTTCTGGATGGTCTTCAAAGAATAGTGGGTCTTCTATTTATAAGGAGAAAAAGTCGGTTTCTTCAAGATTTTCTTCCATATTTCTTTTGGAAATATTCTTCTTTGGTCTTGATCTGTTTCCATTTTTCTTGGAAGTAGTCTTTTTCTCCAAGTACTTCCTTTTCTTTGAGGAGGTAGAAGTGGGAAATGGGCCAAACTTGCATAATGTTATTGATTGTGACGAGCTCAAGGAAATGTGCTAATTCGTGGTCTAACAATAAGACCCCCGAGTTTGGCGAGATAAATGCAATTTAATCTCGGCGAACTTCAAATATAAGAGAGGAGCTCAAGAGCAATTAATAACAATTATGTGACGCCGACGCGATGGTAATGCTGCCGCGCTGATGCGATGCTGCGTTATTGACTTTAGATCCGTACCGCCTCGTTAAAAATGTTGATATGGAAAAATCCTATGGGATAAAAACCATAAAAAGGGAATCTTGTCCGCAAATAGAATGTGTTTTTGACAATTTCTTTCGGACTTGACGAGATGACTCTTTCGTCTCATTAAGGAGAATAGATTGCCGTGATCATTTTTCTCGGGCTTAACATTTGCTTGTCAAGGAGGATCAATCTTCGGACTCGACAATAGTGTTGAATCTCAAAATCACACAGTAATAGTAAGATAAGAGATGTGAGGTTTAGGAGAGACTCTTTATTAGATCAACCAAAGACAAAGATGGTACAAGGGGTGATTCGTCTCGACGACAAGTTTGACGAGACGAATACGAAAAGAATAGAGAAACTTAGAACAAAGAACGAATTATAACTAGGGTTTTCTGAATATTTCTCATGATGAGGATTATTGTGGATGGTCTTCAAGGAATAGGGGGTCTTCTATTTATATGGAGAGGAGGTTGGCTTCTTCAAGATATTCTTCCATATTTCTTTTGGAAATATTCTTCTTTGGTGTTGATCTCCTTCTATTTTTCTTGGATGTAGTCTTTTTCTCCAAGTACTTCCTTTTCTTTGAGGAGGTGGAAGTGGAAGCGGGCCGGGCTTACATAGTATTATTAATTGTGACGGGCTCAGGAAATTGTGCTAATTTCTGCTCTAACAATAAGTCCCCCCCAGTTTGGCGAGATAAATGCAATTTAATCTCGGCGAACTTCATGTATAAAAGAGGAGCTCAAGAGCAATTAATAATAACTATGTGATGCCGACGCGATGCCGATGCTGTCGCGATGCTGCGCTGACGTGATGCTGCGTTGCGTTATTGACTTTAGATCCGTACTGCCTCGTTAAAACCTTGATATGGAAAAACCCTATGGGATAAAAACCATAAGAAAGGGAAAAGAGTACAGTGACGTAATCTTGTCCGCAAATAGAATGTGCTTTTGATAATTTCTCTCGGACTTGACGAGATGACTCTTTTGTCTCGTCAAGGAGAATAGATTGCTGTGACGATTTTTCTCGGATTCGAGCTTCGACGAGATTGGTTTTATCGGGCTCGTGTGATGACGAGACCGCTCGATTGTGATGACGAGATCGGTTTTCTCGGGCTCGTGTGATGACGAGACCGCTCGATTTCGTATATGATGACGAGATCGGTGTCTTCTCGGGCTCGTGTGATGACGAGACCGCTCGATTTCGTATATGATGACGAGATCGGTGTCTTCTCGGGCTCGTGTGATGACGAGACCGCTCGATCGTATATGATGACGAGATCGGTGTCTTATCGGGCTCGTGTGATGACGAGACCGCTCGATTTCGTATATGATGACGAGATCGGTGTCTTCATCGGGCTCGTGTGATGACGAGACCGCTCGATTTCGTATGATGACGAGACCGTGTCTTCGGGCTCGTGTGATGACGAGACCGCTCGATCTGTGATGACGAGACCGGTGTCTTCTCGGGCTCGTGTGATGACGAGACTCTCGATCTCGATCTCGTTGATGACGAGACCGGTTTTCTCGGGCTCGTGTGATGACGAGACCGCTCGATCTCGTGTGATGACGAGATCGGTGTTTTCTCGGGCTCGTGTGATGACGAGACCGCTCGATTGATGACGAGATCGGTGTTGTCGAGAGGTTTGGCCAGAACGTCGACGTGTGCCTTTGGAGGTGAATAAAATTTTACAATGCTCATCTCGTCAGACGGATTATAGAATTTTATTGGAGTATAGCTGAACCTTTGGAAAGGCTGCCTACGTACCCATGCCGGGATCAAGCCATTCGTAGTTCGTTTTCTCGGTCTCGTGCTTGAGACCGGTTTGATGCCGAGATGTTTATCGGACTTGCCGTTTCGGCGGCGGAGGCAGATCATCTTGGTGAGGGAGTGATGCAGGCGCGTTCTTCTCGGCGTCGTCGTCTCGATCTTGGCGCGTATTTCTACTTCGGCGCTGGTTTGCAGCTCGTCGATTTTCGTCGCGGCGTTCAGCATCATTGTGGCTTTGCGGAGTATTGCTATGTACTCTAGTATCATGCTGTGACGCCTACATTCTTCTGTAGTATGATCGGTTCGTCCATGGAGTTTGCACCATTTGGACTTCGCTGTTTAGAGGCCTCCTCCTTGACGAGATGACTCTTGATGACGACGAGATGATGCGTGCCGAGATGACTCCTTCGTCATTCCATGAATCTTTGAGTGGTGCGCCTTGCTTTCTTCGACGCAGACGTATTTTTGGGACCTGTGCAAAGCGTCCTGGAGGGTTGCGGGTTCGTCGAGCATCAGACTCTCTTTCAACTTTGATTCGAACCAAAGCCCGTTTTCGAAAGCTTTGATTCCTATCGCGTCAGGGATGTCTGAGTGCTCTGCTGCTGTTTTGAATCTCTCGACGAACTTGCGAAGAGACTCATCTTTTCCCTGTGCCATAGTGAAAAGATTGGTGCTGCCTTTTGACATAAACATGCCAAAGTGTTTCATGAATGCCGTGCTGAGATCATCAAAGTTGTCGATGGTCTCGGCGGGAAGGTTCGAAAACCAGCTCGTCGCGTCTTTGTTCATGTGCTCGATGAACACTTGGCAGTAATTTGCGTCTTGTTCTTCGGGGGAGGCATATTTTGCCTTCTCATGGCCATCTCGAAGTTTCTTAGCCAGTTTCGAGGATCGTCACCATTGTTGTAGAACTGAAGACGGAGAGCCGTTTGATCCTTTAGAGGTATCGCGGCGATGCGACGAGTGAAAGGACTCCTTTTCGTCTCGGCGAGGATTTTGGCAATCTCGGGTGCCGAGCTGATAGCGTCGTGCACTTTGGAGCTGATTGCGTCGAGGTCGCGGCGCAGCTTGGCCACTTCCGGGTCGGTGTCTTTCTCACCATTCGTCGCGGCATTGGAGCCAGTCGCGGCGGTGCTTCTTGTCGGCGTCTGGAAGAGAGTTCGTCCCGTCGGGATGACTCGTCCGTCGCTGGTGACGTGGAGGGAGTCGATCTTGTCGTTGTACTTTTGCTGCTGAGCTTGCATCTCGGCGAATTGAGAAGCAATTTGAGCAGCAAAGCCTTGCATGGCGGCGGTTAACGCGGCGGTCGTGACGGGAGCTTCTACGTCAGGAACCGGTGGCGGCGGAGGGTTGACGTGACCGTTGGTCGCGTCGACTTCGACGGGATGGACGATGGGGTTTCCATCTGCGCCGAGTTGACTTTGCAGTCCGCCTGATCTGGGCATCAGCTGGAGGTGCCATCTTTGAACCTTGATTGACTTTTTTCAGAGTTTTTTCTCCAGCCCCACGGTGGGCGCCAATTGTTAGATCTCAAAATCACACAGTAATAGTAAGATAAGAGATGTGAGGTTTAGGAGAGACTCTTTATTAGATCAACCAAAGACAAAGATGGTACAAGGGGTGATTCGTCTCGACGAAAGTTGACGAGACGAATACGAAAAGAATAGAGAAACTAAGAACAAAGAACGAATTATAACTAGGGTTTTCTGAATTTGCTCTCAGTGATTGTGAGGATTATTGTGGATGGTCTTCAAGGAATAGGGGGTCTTCTATTTATATGGAGAGGAGGTTGGCTTCTTCAAGATATTCTTCCATATTTCTTTTGGAAATATTCTTCTTTGGTGTTGATCTCCTTCTATTTTTCTTGGATGTAGTCTTTTCTCCAAGTACTTCCTTTTCTTTGAGGAGGTGGAAGTGGAAGCGGGCCGGGCTTGCATAGTATTATTAATTGTGACGGGCTCAGGGAAATTGTGCTAATTTCACCTCTAACAAATAGCTTGTCAAGGAGGAATTTTGTTCGTCTCGTCATTGACAGCAGCTCGTCAAGGAGGATCGATCGTCGGACTTGACGATAGCTCGTCAAGAAGGAAGCTTTTGATCTCACTTCGGCATGGTATCTCTTGTCAACAAATCAATCTATTGACGAAATAATTTACTGACCTTACGTCGATGTCGAGATGACGAAGTAGTTATGCCGAGTGGTTTGCAAGATTTCTTCTCCATTTAGAGAGTTGTGACAAATCATTATTCGTCGTGCCGAGTTGAACGTGGCATGCCGTCACGATTCGTCGACGAGGTAAGTCATTACCTTCTCGTCGACTTAAGTGTTTTGCTTTAGGTCGGGTTCGACGCAATGCATCGTATACTCATGCTAAGATGGTGGGAAAGTAATTCCATAGTGCGAAGATTTATCTCGACTCTCGGCTTTCGGACTTCAGATTCGGACATTGGGACGCGACGACTTTGGTCGGCCTCCAAAATCTGAAGGAATATTTTTTTCGGTTTGGACGCGATAACTTCGTCGACTTTTTCCGTGTTATGAGTATGAGGAATCAGAAACATGTGAAGTTTTATCTCGACTTTTTTCGACTTCTTCCTTGAGACCTCAGACCTTTCGGGCTCACCCAAAGTCTGAAGGTGATATGATCATGGAGGAGGTTGCTAGGAACTTGGACCAGGAAGCAGCTGGAAAGAGAGCTTGAAGCAGAGGAACAACTTGAACCAGAGGAGTAGCTTGAACAAGAGGAAGCATTGGCGATGCCAACCAGACCAATCACTAGGTCGCGAACTAAGCTGTTCAACCAAGAAATTGGAAGAATACTTAGCCACTTGGGCCAGAGCAGAAATGAGGTTATCCAAACCACTTTGGTTTGTTTAGCAGCCCAAAGATCTTGATAAAGGGACAAGTGTGCTTAGTGTGCTCTTTTTCCCTTCTATGGTTTTGTCCCACAAGGTTTTCCATAGAAGGTTTTTAATGAGGCCTAAGTCCACTTTCAAACCCATTCCTTTATCAAATCCGGCCCAACTCTTCTCCACTTCAAACCTTGCCGCCCAGGCACCTGAAGAGTCATCTTTTGTTTTCAAACTTTCATTTATTACTTTGTGTGTTTCCAAGATGGTCATTGGAGCTTGTTCCATGACTCATCTCTTCTCTCTTCTCTCCCTTTATATTCTGGACGAAATTCTCTTTCATGTTATCAATCCTTTTAATCAAAAACCCTTTTGTTTGTGGAATCAAACCTCTTAGTGTGTAATATCTAAGAAATCCTTGATATTCTTAAGGTGTGTAATATCCTTAGGAGTTCTAGGCCTTGTCCATCTCTTAGTGAGTAATATCCTTGAGATCAACAAGATTGGTGTTGAGAGATCCTTCCGCAGATCTCTTGATATAGCCATTCAATCATTCATCATCACGCCACATCCATTCAAGTTCATTCCATCATCCCTTCATTCCATCTTTCCATCAATCCATCATCCAAACTTGCTTCAAAGTGCTGATCTATAATCAGGGGTCTATCAAGTGGTATCAGAGCCACTTTGAAGCTAAGTGATTCCATCCTTTATGTGTTTTAATTTCGTTTTTGTTCCATCATTTCATCTGTGACTGTTCATCTTCTAGATCTGTCGAGTTTTGTTAGTGAAAATCAGTTTAATTGTTTGCACAACTTTAAAATTATTGTCATAATTAATCCTGATCATTCTCTCATAGATCTATCCATCCACAATTGTTTTCATATTTTTAGAAACTGTTTACATAATTTCTAGAATTATTTCTTGATCTATTCCCCTTGAACTTCTCACTGCCGAGTGTTCATCTTGTTTTTCAGGTACTATGGTGTCTGAGTAGGAAGATGAAGAGGAGTCAAACAAAAGCCTCAGCGAAACCATCCTAGAACAAATCAAGAAGTTGATGATGGATGAGTTCGACGGGAGGGAACAAATCAGGGAAGGAAAACGCAAGGAGCCAAGAGATCCGATCCATATATCGGAAGAGGATCGAAGAAATGACCCTATGGTGTCAAAGAAGATGGCTGATGAACAAGCCAACTTGTACTATAACAGTGGCCATTCCTCTCAAGACAGTAGGCGCCGCTCTAGAAGGCATCGAGATGATCCTGACCACATGGTCGAAAACCTTGAAGGATACAAGATCCGGATCCCACCGTTCTATGGCCACAACAATCCTGATGAGTACATGGACTGGGAGAAGAAGTGTGAGTTCAATTTTAACTTACACAACATATCCAACCACAACCGTGTTAAGCTGGCGGTCTCTGAGTTCAATGACTATGCACTAAGGTGGTGGGAACAAGTTGTGACCGCAAGACAGATAGGTGGAGCCTTTGAGGTCACCACTTGGGAAGAAATGAAGAGAATCATGAGGCAGCGGTTCATTCCCAGTTACTATCAGCGTGAGCTACACTCCAAGCTCAGGAGGCTCACTCAAGGGTCCAAAAAAGTGGAAGAATACTTCCAAGAGATGGAAGTTATGTTGCTAAGGGCTAATGTGATTGAGGACAGAGAAGCCACTATGTCCAAATTCCTTGGAGGGCTCAACTGCAAAATCCAAGATGTTTGGAGATGCAGAACTTTGTGTGCTTGGAAGCTATTGTGACATCCCGAAACTTGGTCTTCGGTTTGTGTCCGGTTAAGAGAAATTTGGCTTGATTGGCTTTCTAATCCATTTCTTAAAAGCCCATTGGAAGCCCATTTGTTAAAACTTGGTGAGCAAGATCGTATATTCCGTTTCCGTTTTGTCAAAGAGAAGAGTAACATTCCTTGCCTAATTCAACGAGAGTGATAAACACTCATTTCCTTTCATTGATGTGGATTCCCTAAATCATCGCCAATCTAGAGTTATTGCCTCTAGACCTTTTTGGCTCCTCCTTTCAGTATCTCACGAGATCTCTCTCCCTTGCCTCTGGCTATTCTCTCTTTCTCTCCCTAAGAGTTCTCTTCTTCTTCTCCGAGGAACTTTCACGCCATGTCTTCTCCGCCGACTTCACCGCAGCAAGACGAAGTCTCCTCTCCTCCGACTTCTCCGAGGATGCATGTGCCGCCGCCGACGCTGTCATGGTTGTGGGCATCGCCGTTACGTCCGCACTACTTCTCCTCCGCCAATCGAACCTCAAGGTGAGGACATGCTTATGCCTCCACCTTAGGCTTTCCTTTCTTGAGATGTGCTTAGCCGAGTTTAAGCTCAGCATAAATTGCTTGATCGTTAGTATTGCGTAGAATTGATTAGTAGCATTCATATTAGAGTTCATTATGTTGTTACTTGTTCTGCAAGTCATCTTTGTTTAGTATTGTTATTTGATCTCCCGTTTGTTGATTAAGTCTCGCTGTGTGTGAATATTTATTTAGTGATTTGTTGCATTATAACAATTGTTTGATTACGTAGAAGTGAACCCTCGATGCATGAGAATCCCTTGTTATTGTGTGTCATACACTTGTCCATGTGTTTCACGTAGGTTGCTAGATTCAGTAAAGTGGTGTTGTTTAATCTTTGGTACAAATGATATTTTGGTGGAATGTACTTGGGATCATGAATTGAACCGAATGTTAAGTTGTGATGATGTGGCTACTATATAGTTACGTGCGCGGTTAATGTTGCATGGTTATTATTCGTTGTTATATTGATTATTGCCTTTGGCTCTCGGATTATTTGGTTAAAATGTGATCTTTAGTTGTTTATTAAATTACATGAGGTATACTATTATAAGGGTACGGGGACGTTTATGGTTGTATGGTTTGCATGGTCACTGGACGTTGCTATTATTGTGGCTTGGTTATTGGACGCTGTTGCGTTGTTAAAGAATGTTGTTATTGGTCGTATGTACTGTGTTGTTTATTCTCACTTAGTAGTTATAGTCTTTCATTATTTTATTGCTTGCATATTAAGCTATCGTTATTGTTCACTTTGGTTTGTATTGACCGTGTGTTACACACGTTGTTTTGTCTTCACTCATAGGTTGTTAGACTTGCTGTGCATATCTCTGGTTGATGATGATATGGTTGTTTCCATACGATGACTAATGCTTGTTGATCTCACCTAGTTTGTGTATGATAGGTTGTAAACCGGTATTGCGTGATATTAAGTGTATGTTATTCATGTGAGTTGAACTTGGAGTTAGTATGTGTCGTTAGTTGACTTTGCTGTGTAGGGGCATAAGTAAGATTGAGGATCGACTCATACTTATGTGTGTGTTGTGTGGCTATAAGTAAGATGGAGGATTGACTCATACTTATATTGTGTTGTGTGGTTATAAGTAAGATGGAGGATTGACTCATACTTATATTGTGTGGTGGCTATAAGTAAGATGGAGGATTGACTCATACTTATATTGTGTGGTGGCTATAAGTAAGATGGAGGATTGACTCATACTTATATTGTGTGCTGGACATAAGTAAGATGGAGGATTTACTCATACTTAGTGTCCATCGTCTGTGGCTTGGGCGAGCCAGGTGTCTTGAAAGAGAGGCAGGCGTCTTGAAAGAGAGGCGTATACGACATGGCGTTGGGACCATGGGGTAGTGACCGCGAATGTCTTGAGGGCATTGCGTGGGCTACTGGTTGTGTGCGTTGTGTGAGTACAACGTGTGTGTGATGTTGTGTTGTGATACACTGTGGTATATTGTTTTAGGGTGATAGCTGTGTTGTTGTTATTGCTAATGAACCTATGTATGGTGAGCTAATGTGATGCATGTGCATAATGAACTTGGTTATTATTGGTCGTGTTGTGAACTAGGGTGTTAGTTCCGGTGATGTGTGGTGATGGACTAGTGTGATGTCCTTGTGTTGTTGAGTTAGGTTGATAGATGTATTGCTAGTACTGATTCTGTGATGTCATTAGAGACATTGTGTGATGCTTTGTTTAGCCGAGGCTTTGTGATCTTGAGTTTGAAAAGTGTAAGCTGGTTGTATAGGTTTGTCCTCCTGGGTAATCTAAATTACTCATCCCTCGCCCTCCCCTTTTCTTTCAGGTAAAGATGGATGGTTATGATGCATTATATATTGGTGGGTTTGCAAAATGGACAACCAAGTGATGGGACCAAGGGAAAGGTTATGTCTCTTAGGAGAATAACTTGATACGCTGCTCGGTTTCCGGTCGGTTGGTTGGACCGGAGGGTGCGGGTGTCACAGCTATGCTTCACAAAGCTATTCTTGCTGAACAACAAATTAAGAGGAGGACACCAGCTCGACATGGAGCTGATCAGCGCCGGCCTGTTTATGCCAGAGATTCCAGACCGGTTTTCACACCAAAGTCTGAGCCAAGAGGAGTTCCTTACAATCAGGACAAGGACAAGAACAAGGCCAGCACAACCTCTGCTCCCAGAGCCCGCGAACTTAAGTGTTTCAGGTGCCAAGGCTTTAGACACTATGCCAATGAATGCCACAACAAGAAGATCATGTTCATAAGAGACAATGGAGAAGTGGAGTCTGAGGAAGAAGTTCTAGACCACAAACCAGAGCCAGAGCCAGAAGAGTATGAAGCTGTGCCAGTCATGGGCAAGATTCTGGTAGCCAGAAGACTCTTGAGCGCTCAAGTCCAAACACACAAGGAAGAGCAAAGAGAGAACCTCTTCCACTCTCGCTGCCTTGTCCAGGAGAAGGTTTGCAGCCTAATCATTGATTGAGGCAGTTGCACTAATGTGGCTAGTGAGGCCATGGTTGAGAAGCTTGGCCTTGTGACTCAGAAGCATCCTAAGCCATATCAGTTGCAGTGGATCAATGAGACTGGAGATATGAGTGTGAAGGAGCATGTGGTCGTGCCACTGTCTATAGGAAGCTATGAGGATGAGATTCTGTGTGATGTCTTGCCTATGGATGCTGGACACATCATTTTGGGAAGGCCATGGCAATCTGATAGGCGTGTGATGCATGATGGCTTCACAAACAAGTACACTTTCCTTCACAAGGGGCGTAAGACTACTCTTATTCATTTAACCCCTCAAGAGGTGTATGAAGATCAAGTCCAGTTGAGCGGCCAAAGAACCAAACCTCAAGCCAAGAAAGAGCCATCCAAACCAAGCAAATCCTTGAACTATCTAGTCAAGTCCAAACAGGTTAAGAGTTCCATGTCTTCTGATAAACCTTTCCTTTTGTTTATCTTTAAAGTATCATTTAATCTCTTGATTGATAATTGATGCGGGATCAGGTTTTACCTATTCCTATCCCTGATTCTGCAAGTGCACAGGTCAGGTGTAGTAACGGGTTATCGAACACAAGGAGCAGATAAGTGCACTACAAGCTATGCAAGTCTAACTTAGCTAGGACAAGAGGATAGATTGTGGTTTGGTATGCAAAATAACTAACTAAACTATGAAAGCAAAGTAAAACGGTGTAAGTTCAATGTGGGAAAGACGCTAGGCAATAGGTAATTCGCAGAGATTCATAGATGATAAGATTGATGATTGATTTATATCTATTTAGGGATATGGGATGTAAGATCCGTCTAGAACACCAAACACGAATGTAAAACCATTCCACTGTCGAGGCTCCGGTTCCTTTGTTAATCTACCTAGTCGCTAAACTTTTGGTATGTCCCTAGGTGATTAAATCAAGCATTAGATCGAGCAAGTTCGGATACAGTTCACTAGGTTATAGTAAATCAACTTTCGCAGTCTAAGAAACCTAGCTTGTCAAAGAATATGTCCGGCGAATGATACAACACTTTCGAGGCTCAAATCAACCTAAGATCGAATCACTAGATGTACGGTAAAGTGATTAGCATTAATTAAGTGTGAAAAAAGAGACAAAGACTCTAATGATATCCCTAGTTAATTCATCAAATCATAATCAACACATGAACTCTTTGAAACCCTAAAACCTAACTAGAAATCTACTCAAACATGGTGCAAGTAAACAAGCATAGATCTGAGATAGAAATCATATTAATATAAGGAGAAAAGGGTTTAGAAAGCTTCTCTATGTCGAGATACAAAGAAGGGATCTTCTCCCTAAGGAAAACAATGAGAAAGAAGTAAAACAATGGAAGATCCCTCTAAGGGGAGCTCCCTAGTGCGCCTCTCTCTTGTAGCTCTTCTCTGTGTGACTGCGGCTCTCTCTTCTAAAGAGGCTAAAAAAGAGTATTTATAGTGCCCTAGGTCTTCCACAAGTCGGTTGAGGTGAAACGGGCCAGAATAGTCGAAACTGCATAAGTGGGCTTCTTGTTCGCGGAGCTCGGGTCGACCGTGTAAGGGATGTGGTCGGCCGTCGGGGTCGGCCGTGATGTGATGTTCTCGGTCGATCGTGGTCCATTGCCTCCCGGCTCGGACGGTGCGGTCGTGCGGCCGGATCGGTCCTGGAGAAGGCCGAGCGAAGCCAATTCCCTTCCTGTCCGGCCGAGTGCGTTCGGCCGGCTGTGGACCAGTCTTCAGTACAAACGTGATATCTCCTAGGCTGCTCTCCAAATTGCATACTTCCAACGGCATTGGAACACTAACTCATCTGCCTATCTGTTGTGTTTCATTGAAATCCATTGAGTTTAAGGGTCCAAGCCGCTGCTGCTCGTCTGATGTACTGATGCAGTCCGATAAAGCTCCTCGGTATATGTCTCAGGGAAATAGAGATATCTCCCAATCTACTCGGTCAAATTGATTCCAGTTGCGTTGCAAAGCTAACTCACGTATGCATCACTCGAACTGGATTTGATGAAGTCCATTGAGTAGAATGTTTTTAAGGCCCTTCTTAAAGTTGATGCTACGTCCTGGAGTGGTCTTGAAGTCCAAATCCTGTGTTTTGCTCCAAAATGCATCTTTTGACCTGTTTAGACTCTAAGTACTATAAATCCATAAAAACTACCTTTTTAGATCAGAAAGCCATTAAAAACCTTATGAAAAGCATAGTAAAACCATATAAAAAGCATGTAAAATAGAGGTATATCAATCCCCCAGACTTAGATCTTTGCTTGTCCCAAGCAAATCGAATCCAAACTAGTGAAGAGGTTTTGAAAACATGAAAACTCACTTATCCTTTAGAACTTGTATCCACCATTGCTCTGCTTTCATTTGAGCAAAACCAACTTTGAAACTAGCTTTCCCGTACTGACCTTGAGCTTAGCGAACCATACCGGACCCAACAAATCTCATCCAGTATTCCAAACTCTCTATTGTTAACTCCTTGCAGTATTTAAAACGTGTGGTCTTTATCAAGGGAGTATTGATCACAGAGCATTGATTCTTACCCATCCAAGTCTTTGCCAAGATAGTCTTTTTGCTCATTCAGTACCAAACCTCTCTCCTTCTCTCTTATCTTTGAAGAATCAATTTTTCCCTACTTTTCTAGGGTATCATTTTATTTTTTCTATCGATCCTCCTTCCCTTAAGATTTCTCTCTGTGGGATACATGGATTGGCATTGAGCTTCCTCCTTGTGTATAAGGTATTCCATAAGACACGAAGGTGCAGAAGTATGCATTCCTCATGCTTACTTGTTTTCCTTGTGCTTAGAGCTTTTGATCTTTCTTTTGCAGATAAGAGAGAGGATGACTGTTTCTTTTCTAGACATATCTCAACTAAACCTAGATGAGGAGTCGGCTCATATGAATCTCAAGCCCCTTGACAAGAAAAATTAAAGGTTCATTAAGTGTGGAGCTAGCTTTAGATTGTGTGGGTACCTTAGAAATCTTGCCAAATCAGTAGGTCGATCCACCCTTAGAGGTTCCGTTAGGCATTGTTCGGTGTCAGTATTCGCCTTTGTGATCACAAGAGCTTTGGTGTGATAAGGTAAGCTCCTAAGATAGATCACAGTTTCCTAACTTATTTTGACTCAATAAAACAGAAGTTTTGAAAAAGGTGGGAAAGAGAAAGATATAAGATGAAGACAAGGCATGAACAAACACATTAGTACCGAACAATCCCCCCAGACTTAACTTGCACCGTCCCGGTGAAAGCAAATCCGATTAAGGGAGGAAAAAGAAATAGGTAGTAATGTGTGAGTGAATGAGAAGAAAGATGTAACCTGATTAGACATTAAGTCTATGAAGAAACGACCTAGTGGTGGTATGTGGTTGTCCTTTGTCCTTTGATAAGCTTGAGATAAGCTTAACAAACCTTCTCCATGCTGCATTTGAATGAACTCCAAAGAATGGGTTGTATCCCGGCTTAGATGATCAAGTACCATGCGTCCACGGTAAAATCTCTTGAAGGGCGGCCTTAGGCAAGGCATAGTTGGGATTAGCCTTGGATTGTAGCAAACGGATGTGTGATTGTGATAGATCTTTGCCACAATCATTGGTGTTGGACTGTAGGGAGATTGGATGGATGCAAACTGATGAAGATCAGGGCCGGTTTGGTGAATGGGAGACTTCCTCATGTGATATTGGTCGGTGAGTTTTGATTTTCAGGGCTTGGTTCACTCCGGGTTGCGTTCTGGCCGAGATGGGACATTTCGGTCGACCGGAGGGTAGTGCTATGGACTACAGCTCAAACTATAAAGAATTCCTCGACCCATATTGAAATTTCATCGACCAACCTCATATTTTGGCCTCTGGTGAAGTTTGAGAGCATTCGAACGAGTGGATTGAGAGATCCTTCACAAAGTGGTCAATATGGCTCCGGGAAGAGGTTTCTTGGCCATCCTTGAGTTTGGCTCGTTCGTTTTGTGATCTTCCTTTGGAAATATGTTATGAAGCTCCAGGAAGTCATTTCCATCCGGAGTTCGCGCCTATGCCGTGATTTGGTTTTGTCGGCCATTTGGTTGCACCGCGGACGACCGGATGGGGCTCTTCTGTATATCTCCTGAACCGTGAACATTTCACCGTCCTATCTTTTGGATTTGCCGACCAAATTTGATTTTATGGCCGCCTGTGAAGTTTGGTGGACTTTGGTATACGGTTGAGGAGTTGGCCGAGATTGGTCTTCCATGCTCGCCATGGCCGAGAGAAATAGGCCGGATGGAATTTCTTCAAATCCACTCGGGCCAATTGAGATTTTCTTCGACCAAAGTGATTTTCTAACCCTTAATCATTCCCAGGTGGTGCGCGCCTTGTTCCTTGGGATTGGGTATGTTCCTCCTTTGAAACCTTCCTTAAACCTCCATAGGTATGATGGTTGTGGTCGGCTATAGCATTTCTTCTTGATATCCTTCCTGTCAAGTAATTTAATCCTTGCAAAATACTTGAAATCACTGATTAGATAGTTCTTAGATTGAGACCCTCAAGTAACCAGCTTGAAGTTCACAATCCAAGAGATTAAGGTAAAAACTATAAACATATTTTTGGGTCTTGGTTAGTGATCCCAAACTTCAAATTATAGTTTAGTCTATGTGAATTCATTGCATCATATAAGTTTGACAAGTAGAGATATATTTCATTCAATAACCATTAAGTTTTAAAGCGATTTAGACCATGAAATGTAACTAATGAAGTGCAATGGTTCAAATGCTCATGAATAGAGATTAATAGTGGTCATGAATGAAATATTGGAGAAGAATTTACTTACCTGTAGTGGAGATTTCGCCTTGAACAAGGGTGGGACTTTGGGTGGGACACTTTCATGGTTTTGTCTCCTTTCTTCATTTTTCGAGGTTTCTTCTCAAATTTCATGCTAGATTCTCAAATCTCTGTATCCAAAACTTCAAAAACAAAACAAAAACCATTAAACTAAAACAAAAAGTAAAAAGGGAAAAGAAAACACCTTATGGGTTGCCTCCCATATAGCGCTTGTTTAAAGTCTTTTAGCTTGACTCTTTCTCTTTCTAATTGACCAATTGATCAAATAGAAGAGTTGAGGCTCCTTTAGCTTCTCTACATTCTGGACCTGACGGTTTGAAACTCCTCCTATGGATATCTTGAAGGTCTTGAATGTAGTTGCAAGAAACAATACCACCAGTAAAGAGTTTCCTCTTCTTGTGCAGCCCATCCTTGAAGGGTTCTTTGTTTTCCTTATTCTGGAAATCAAAGCTGAACTTAGAGAAGCATCTTGAAGTTCTTATAGGCTGTGGTGTGGCATCAATCACGTCCTCCTTGTACTCCCTTGGTGTCAAAATCTTGCTTAAGACACTTGAAACCTTAATGCAGTTTGCCTTTGCCGGTATGGCAATTTCCTTAGATATGATGAGAGGGGCTGCTGATATGACGTCTATCAACTCCTCTGGTCATTATTAGGCTCTGATAGTGGTTCCTCTCTAGCGCACACATCTGCAGAATGAGAGCTCTTGATAGGAACCGCCGGATAGGACATGGCTTTACTGATTTTGGAGAGAGAGATTCTTTGCTTCTGAAGATCCAAGATTGCTCCATTGGCTTCAAGGAATGATGAACCAAAACTCAATGGCTTGTCAGGGTCGTGTTTCATCTCTAATATATGGAAATCAGCCTTAAAGACGTGATCTCCAATGGATAGTGTAAGATTCGAGATGAAACCATGGAAGAGAGTATAAGGATCATCTTTAAACCGCATTGGTATCTTGGAGGGATCCCTGACTTCAATCCCAATCTTCTTGGCTATTCCTTTGTTCATGATGTTGATGTGAGATCTTGTATCACATATGGAATCTTGAACAAAACTCCATTAATGATGCAAGGTACATCAAGCTTCTCCGGGTTAGAGATCTTCTCTAGTGGCTTCGGCTTGTAACCTCTTGTTGAGTCCAAGGAGTAATGCTCTTGCTCTGGTCTTGTAGCCAAGTTAACAGCAGTCTGGGGTGGTTTATGGGTTGGCACGAACTCAGCTTCCCTTCTAGAGATGGATTCACAAAAAGCTTTTGTTTCCTCCATCTCTTGTCTTTTCAAATCTTCATAGGTTTGATCAACATGGGTGTGAATCTTCTTGATTTGACAAGCAAGAGACTCGTTCTTGTCAATGAAACTGTTGAACAAGCTTTCCATCCTCTCATCCAATTCATTAGTGAACTCTTTTTGATCATCCACAATCTGCTGAAGCATTGCTTGAATCACACTATTTTGCTGAACCGGATGAGGTGCGCTTGGAGGAAAGTTGTAAGGCTGCTTCATTGGGTACATGCCTTCTTGATTGTACTGCTGCATAGGTCGGAATTGACTTCCTTGATGGTGAAACCGTGGTGATTGCTGCTGGAAGTCAGGAGGATAGATGAAGTCATCTAGATAGTTAACTTCTTGTGATTGCTCCCATGCAAAATCTCCAATGGTTTCTTGGTAGTAAGGGGCACGCCTTAAAGGGACATGATCTTGGGTCTGGCCAAAGATCATAGCTTTCATCTTATAATCAAGTTTGCACCTGAAACACACAAAGATAAAGGCTTAAAGCGAAATTGAAACAAAAACTAAAACAAGGAAGAATGAAAAACAACTAAAACTAAAAATCAAATGCAAAAACTACTAAAACTAAATTCCTAGACTAAGCTATTCTTGGGAACTCGTAGGCAGCTGTATTGCTCCCCGGCAACGGCGCCAAAAACTTGATGCGGGATCAGGTTTTACCTATTCCTATCCCTGATTCTGCAAGTGCACAGGTCAGGTGTAGTAACGGGTTATCGTGGACTACAAGCTATGCAAGTCTAACTTAGCTAGGACAAAGGATGAATTGGGGTTTTGGTATGCAAAAGAACTAAACTAAAAGAAAGCAATATGAAAGCGGTGTAAGTTCAATGTGGGAAAGACGCTAGGCAATAGGTAATTCGCAGAGATTCATATATGATAAGATTGATGATTGATTTATATCTATTTAGGGATATGGGATGTAAGATCCGTCTAGAACACCAAACACGATTGTAAAACCATTCCACTGTCGAGGCTCCGGTTCCTTTGTTAATCTACCTAGTCGCTAAACTTTTGGTATGTCCCTAGGTGATTAAATCAAGCATTAGATCGAGCAAGTTCGGATACAGTTCACTAGGTTAAGTAAATCAACTGTCGCAGTCTAAGAAACCTAGCTTGTCAAAGAATATGTCCGGCGAATGATACAACACTTTCGAGGCTCAAATCAACCTAAGATCGAATCACTAGATGTACGGTAAAGTGATTAGCATTAATTAAGTGTGCAAAACGAGACAAAGACTCTAATGATATCCCTAGTTAATTCATCAAATCATAATCAACACATGAACTCTTTGAAACCCTAAAACCTAACTAGAAATCTACTCAAACATGGTGCAAGTAAACAAGCATAGATCTGAGATAGAAATCATATTAATATAAGAGAAAAGGGTTTAGAAAGCTTCTCTATGTCGAGATACAAAGAAGGGATCTTCTCCCTAAGGAAAACAATGAGAAAGAAGTAAAACAATGGAAGATCCCTCTAAGGGGAGCTCCCTAGTGCGCCTCTCTCTTGTAGCTCTTCTCCTGTGTGACTCTCTATGCGGCTCTCTCTTCTAAAGAGGCTAAAAAGAGTATTTATAGTGCCCTAGGTCTTCCACAAGTCGGTTTAGGTTAATTGGGCTGAGAATAGTCAAAACTGCATAAGTGGGCTTCTTGTTCGCGGAGATCGGGTCGACCGTGTAAGGGATGTGGTCGGCCGTCGGGGCCGTGATGTGATGTTCTCGGTCGATCGTGGTCCATTGCCTCCCGGCTCGGACGGTGCGGTCGTGCGGTCGGATCGTCCTGGAGAAGGCCGAGCGAAGCCAATTCCCTTCCTGTCCGGCCGAGTGCGTTCGGCCGGCTGTTAACCAGTCTTCAGTACAAACGTGATATCTCCTAATGCTCTCCAAATTGCATACTTCCAACGGCATTGGAACACTAACTCATCTGCCTATCTTGGTGTCAAGTTTCATTGAAATCCATTGAGTTTAAGGGTCCAAGCCGGCTGCCCGTTTGATGTACTGATGCAGTCCGATAAAGCTCCTCGTATATGTCTCAGGGAAATAGAGATATCTCCCAATCTACTCGGTCAAATTGATTGATTCCAGTTGCGTTGCAAAGCTAACTCACGTATGCATCGCTCGAACTGGATTTGATGAATTCCATTGAGTAGAATGGTTTTAAGGCCCTTCTTAAGTTGATGCTACGTCTTGGAGTGGTCTTGAAGTCCAAATCCTGTGTTTTGCTCCAAAATGCATCTTTTGACCTGTTTAGACTCTAAGTACTATAAATCCATAAAAACTACCTTTTTAGATCAGAAAGCCATTAAAAACCTTATGAAAAGCATAGTAAAACCATATAAAAAGCATGTAAAATAGAGGTATATCAATAATGCACCGGAGATTCCGAGTGAGATGTCCAAACTATTACAGGATTTCCAGGATGTGTTTCCAGATGATTGCCCTAAGGGATTGCCACCAGTCAGAGGCATTGAGCATCAAATAGACTTTGTTCCTGGATCCACACTTCCAAACCGGCCAGCATACAGAACCAATCCTGTTGAAACCAAAGAACTCCAGCGCCAAATAAATGAGCTTATGGACAAGGGTCACATCCGGGAAAGCATGAGTCCTTGTGCTGTTCATGGATTGCAGAGCCATCAACAATATCACTGTAAAGTATCGACATCCTATCCCTAGACTTGATGATATGCTTGATGAGTTGCATGGTTCTAGCATTTTCTCTAAAATTGATTTAAAAAGTGGTTATCATCAGATTAGGATGAAAGAAGGTGATGAGTGGAAAACTGCATTTAAAACTAAACATGGTCTTTATGAATGGCTTGTCATGCCATTTGGTCTTACTAATGCACCTAGTACATTCATGCCTTGATGAACCATATCCTGAGAAACTTCATTGGTCATTTTGTTGTGGTTTACTTTGATGACATTTTGATTTACAGCAAGAACCTTGAAGAGCATCTAGATCACCTTGCATCTGTTTGTCTGTGCTGAGAAAAGAAAAATTGTTTGCCAATCTTAAGAAATGTACTTTTTGCACAGATAATGTGGTTTTTCTAGGCTTTGTTGTGAGTGCAGATGGAGTCAAGGTGGATGAAGAGAAAGTTGCTGCAATCCGTGAATGGCCAAGTCCTAAGACAGTGAGTGAAGTCAGAAGCTTCCATGGCCTAGCTGGGTTCTATAGGCGGTTTGTCCGTGATTTTAGTACCTTGGCCGCACCTTTAACTGAAGTCATCAAGAAAGAAGTTGGATTCAAGTGGGAGAAAGCACAGGAGGATGCTTTCCAAGCTCTCAAGGATCGCTTGAACTAATGCCCTGTTCTTATTTTACCTGACTTCTTGAAAACTTTTGAGATTGAGTGTGATGCTTCAGGTATTGGCATAGGAGCTGTCTTGATGCAGGACAAGAAGCCAATTGCTTTCTTTAGTGAAAAGCTTGGAGGAGCCACTCTCAACTATCCAACCTATGACAAAGAACTCTATGCCTTGGTCCGAGCTTTACAAACTTGGCAACACTATCTCTGGCCAAAGGAGTTTGTCATCCACACAGACCATGAATCTCTCAAACATCTCAAGGGCCAGCAAAAGCTCAACAAAAGACATGCCAGGTGGGTTGAGTTCATTGAGACATTCCCATATGTCATCAAGTACAAAAAAGGTAAGGACAATGTTGTAGCCGACGCATTGTCCAGGAGGTACACTCTTCTCTCAACTCTTGATGCTAAACTCTTGGGCTTTGAACAGATAAAAGACTTGTATGATTCTGATTCTGATTTTGCTGAGATTTACAAGTCTTGTTCTAAGTTTGCTTTTGGCCGATACTCCAGACAAGATGGGTTTCTCTTCTATGAGAACCATCTCTGTGTGCCTAATTGTTCTTTGAGGGATTTGTTTGTCAGGGAGGCACATGGAGGAGGCTTGATGGGACACTTTGGTGTGGCCAAAACACTTCAAGTCATGCGTGATCACTTTCATTGGCCGCACATGATCAGAGATGTGGAGAGGATATGTTCTAGGTGCAACTTGTAAACAATCCAAATCTAAGGTTCACCTCACGGTTTGTACACTCCTCTCCCTATTCCATCTCATCCCTGGACTGATATATCCATGGATTTTGTGCTTGGTATTGCCTAGGACTAGAACTGGAAAAGATTCTATCTTTGTGATAGTTGATAGGTTCTCAAAAATGGCTCATTTTGTAGCATGTCATAAAACTGATGATGCATCTCATGTAGCTGCTCTGTTCTTTAAACAGATTGTTAGATTGCATGGCATGCCGCGCACCATTGTTTCTGATCGTGACACTAAGTTCCTGAGTTATTTTTGGAAAACTTTGTGGTCTAAGTTGGGTACTAAGCTTTGTTTTTCTACTACTTGTCACCCTCAAACTGATGGCCAAACTGAAGTTGTTAATACAACTCTTGGAACTTTGTTGCGCATTGATTAAAAAGAATCTTAAAAGTTGGGATGAATGTTTGCCACATATTGAGTTTGCATATAACCATGCTGTGCATTCTGCTTCTAAGTTTTCTATTTGAAATTGTTTATGGGTTTAAACCCATCTCTCCTTTGGATTTGATGCCTTTGCCTTTGAGTGAAAGATTAAGCACAGATGGAAAGCACAAAGCAGAGACAGTCAAGAAGATCCATGAGCAAGCCAGAAGGAACATTGAGGCTAAAAGGAAATGGTATTTGAAGTGGGAGACAAGGTTTGGATCCATCTGCGCAAAGAGAGATTTCCGGCCGAGCGCAAATCCAAACTTATGCCGAGGATAGATGGACCATTCGAGATCACTAGAAGAATCAACAACAACTCCTACCAAATTGATCTTCAAGGTAAGTACAATATAAGTTCCAGTTTTAATGTTACTGATCTTTCTTCTTTTCTTGCAGATGAACCACATTTGAGGTCAAATCCTTTTCAAGAGGGAGGGGATGATATGATCATGGAGGAGGTTGCTAGGAACTTGGACCAGGAAGCAGCTGGAGAGCTTGAAGCAGAGGAACAGCTGGAGAGCTTGAAGCAGAGGAACAGCTTGAACCAGAGGAGCAGCTTGAACCAGAGGAAGCATTGGCGATGCCAACCGAACCAATCACTAGGTCGCGAACTAAGCTGTTCAACCAAGAAATTGGAAGAATACTTAGCCACTTGGGCCAGAGCAGAAATGAGGTTATCCAAACCACTTTGGTTTGTTTAGCAGCCCAAAGATCTTGATAAAGGGACAAGTGTGCTTAGTGTTCTCTTTTTCCCTTCTATGGTTTTGTCCCACAGGGTTTTCCATAGAAGGTTTTTAATGAGGCCTAAGTCCACTTTCAAACCCATTCCTTTATCAAATCTGGCCCAACTCTTCTCCACTTCAAAGTTCAAACCTTGCCGCCCAGGCACCTGATATATCCATATCTTTCATGTTTTTATCAAGGTTTTCACTATGTTTTTAATACAAATAATGTGGTTTTTAAGCCCAAGAGGTAGTTTTCTTGTATATTCTGGTTTTGAGCATCATTCAGGTCAAAATAGCAAAGAAGAGTCCAAAATGGAGCAAAAAGAGTCAAATCACCAAGTTCCCAAGTCTAGAGCACCAAATCTACATTTCTCGCTAAAGACCAAACCGGAGCATCCGAAGTACGACCGCATATTCATGCCTTCCCGACGTCCAAAAGTCATGATTCTTATATGGAAAGATAGATATTTGAGTCATGACCCGCGGCGAAGTGGAAAGAGGTCATTTGGATCACTCGTTGGACCGGAACTTATTTTCTACCAAGACATGTCCGACGAGCGCCTAAGTAGAGCCCATGGAGACTTTGATGGATCAAGAGGCCCGAGATACCGCGCCCAAGGCCTTGGCTCATCTTGACACTAGCATAACTCAATCCAGAAGCTTCCATTGGCCTGAACGCGGCCCATTCAAGAACTTGGAGAGCAAGCTCAAGCGGCTAAAGAGAAATGGAAACTTTCCTCTTCTGCGCGCGCTCAACTTTGCCGACCTAGACCCGCTCTCTACCTATATATACTTGCTTTTAGCCTCTTGTAATAAGAATCACCAGCCGCATAACAAGAAACACTTATTCAATAAAGTTCGGAGCCACTTAGGTGGTCTCCTTCTTCTTTCTTTTCTTCTTTTGCATTTGTATATAGCTTGCATGTTTCAATTTATATAGTCTAGAAGTAGAGATTTCTCCCTAAGGGTGAGGCGTGGTTTAGTCTATATTCCGCCGCCTCTCTCTCTAAGGATTCATGAGACTTCATCTACTATCTAAGACTCATTGTTGAATTATGGATCCTTCCAATGAGGACGTGATATAATGGCCATCGAATCGATTGTTAAAAGGGGAAACCCTATGGTTCTCCATCTTTATTTATGCTTAATGCTTGTTGCTAGAGTAGCTAACTAGTGACTTGATTTTAGGTTGATATACTCTCCAAAAGCTTGTTATATCTCCGGACATAATATTTGATGGGCAAATCGTTTTAGGCTACGAAAGTAGACCTAAAGAGTTTTGTGAACAATCATTACTTGGATGTAATGCATGTCTCACTCTACAATGACCAACGAAAGCTGAGCCCATTGGTTTAAGAGACATAGGGGATTGGAACCACGAAAGTGGAATAATCCTTCCTTAGTGTTTTGAGTTCAAAAGAATCGGATTTTAACAAACTTTTCAATCGACTTGGCTCATGTTTTCAAAAGAGTTTTCAATAGTTCAATAATGTTGCTTGTATAGAATTGCATTGTTATTTGCTTTTGCGTGTTCTAAACAAACACAAACCCTTGCATCTTTTGATTTAGCTTAGTCATTTAAACTCTATGATTATGTAATGTGTGAAATCCAATCCCTTGTGGTTCGACCCCTAAATACTACAATTATATGTTGTGCACTTGCAACACTAGTTGTCTTAGGGAATTATTACTTGTACTCATCCCATAGATGCCGCATCAAGTTTTTGGCGCCGTTGCCGGGGATTGCATCATAAACACTTGCATAGTCTTGTTTAAAACTAAGTCTAGATCTTGGTATTTTCGAATACTAACTTTTTCTTTTTAAATCTTGTGTTTATAGGTACTTGGAGATGAATCACAACACCAACATCCACTTTGGGAACCGGACACTGATCCCACACGATCTCCACGGCCGGAGTTACCAAGACCCAGCCGTAAGCATCGTGCCACATCCGTTCCCTCCCAACCGCGCTCATCCGACGTTTGAAGGACCTAGCCGAGACGAGCATCATTACCATCATCATCAAAACCGACCTCCGGTTTATCATCAACCACCTAGACCAGTGTTGCATTCACACCACGACCATGTTCTCAATAGGCGGAGAGATAGCCATTTCGATGCCGTGCTTGAGGGTTTCATGGAGAGCCAAAGAAAACTAGCCGCGACATTGAGACAAAGCTAGAGTTCACGCGATACGAACTAGATGGAAGACTTGGAGAACTCTCTACCCAAATAGAGAGAGTAGAGTCAAGATGCTTGGACATGGAGGAAGATTTGAAGAAGCAAGGCGAGGCCATTGAAGACAATAGGAGAGCGATACACTTTACCAAAGTTTCTACCAAGGAGATGGACAATCACTTAGATGAGAAGATCTCAAGTCTTGATAACAACCTCGATGGCACCACCAAGAGTCTCAATTCAATAACAGCAGTAGCTCATCAAGCTAAGAGGGAGGTAGCCGAAGTAACCCTAAAGGAGAGGCAATGTTACTCGACGATGCTTACATTGGTGGAAGGGCAAAAACAAGTGAAGGCACAAATCCGAGATTTACACATCTCTCTAGACAAGAGGAGCCAAGATATTCAAAGAAGAGCTAGAGGGCTTGAAGACAAAGTAGATGGAGTCTCCAAGGAAGTCAAGGATTTAACCACTCGCTTAGCCAACTTGGAAGAGAAGGTCTTGACCGAGCAAAGACGACCGTTCCTAAGCACAACCATGCCGCGCCGTCTTTACTATAAGAGAGACCGACCCAAGAGTGATTTGGGATGAAGAAGAAAGTAGAGCTGATCAAGAAAGAGCCACAAGGCTAACCACTGGAACAAGAGAGAAGATAGCACCAAAAGGAAGAACCCTTACTCAAAGGTCTTCACAACCGCCTCCCACCAAGGAGAAGAGGAAGACAAGATCATCACTTGAAGAGATCATAGATGATTTCAACTTTATGGCGAGGAGATTCCCTTATGGTGTGCCGTTTGATAATGCTTGCAACAAGAGTCCATTCATGCAAGACCTAGCTTGGACACAAGATTGGAGTCTAGCTGATATGGGTATATCAGGAACGCGGCCCATTCAAGAACTTGGAGAGCAAGCTCAAGCGGCTAAAGAGAAATGGAAACTTTCCTCTTCTGCGCGCGCTCAACTTTGCCGACCTAGACCCGCTCTCTACCTATATATACTTGCTTTTAGCCTCTTGTAATAAGAATCACCAGCCGAATAACAAGAAACACATATTCAATAAAGTTCGGAGCCACTTAGGTTGTCTCCTTCTTCTTTCTTTTCTTCTTTTGCATTTGTATATAGCTTGCATGTTTCAATTTATATAGTCTAGAAGTAGAGATTTCTCCCTAAGGGTGAGGCGTGGTTTAGTCTATATTCCGCCGCCTCTCTCTCTAAGGATTCATGAGACTTCATCTACTATCTAAGACTCATTGTTGAATTATGGATCCTTCCAATGAGGACGTGATATAATGGCCATCGAAAATCGATTGTTAAAAGGGGAAACCCTATGGTTCTCCATCTTTATTTATGCTTAATGCCTGTTGCTAGAGTAGTGATATCACCATATTTTACATGATTTTACTATATAATTACTATGTTTTCAAACGGTTTTTGCAAGATTCTTTGCCTTTAGAGGTAGTTTTCTTGTATTTGTGGGATTTGAAGTCTTTGTAGGTGAAAATCAAAAAGGATGCAAAAAGGAGTAAAAGAGCCCTAAATCAAGATCCATGCAAGTTTCCAAGTCAAGAAGATCATTTTATCTCCAAGTGTTAGTTCTCGCTGCGCGCAGAACGAAGCTTCGGAAGTTTGGCCGCGCGCGGAGGAGTTCCCGACGTCCAAAAGTTACGATCTTGATATGGAAAGATAGATACTTGAGTCATGCATCACGTCGAAGTGGAATGAAGCCATTTGGATCAACTATGAGGCCTAGACTTATTTTCTACCGAGACATGTCCGGTAAGCGAGTAAACGAAGCCCATGGAGGATTTGGAGTGTCTAATGGCCCGAGCAGCAGCGCCAAAGGCCTTGATCGAATAGAGAAGAGGCCTGGCTAATGTTTGGAGCTTTCCTTGGTACAATGTCGGCCCATACACGACGTGGAGAAGAAGGCTTTGCTCGCGGGAAACTTTCCTTTTCCGGCATGAAGAAAACCCTACGCGACTTCGCCCATATATACATGTTTTTAGCCGCTGAAGAAGAGAGAGAGTCCGAAAATTATCAAAGAGTGTACGTGTGAGAAGAGAGTTCAGAGGAGAGAAGCCCTAGGAGATCGTCCAAGAAGAAGGAGGCGCCGCTCAACTCTTGTTCTTTCTTTTTCATTGTTTCCATTTCTATAAACTTGATCTTAAGAGTTTTCAAGGGAGAATCCGACTTTGTTCATCAATAGAGAAGCTTTCTTCATCCCTTTATCTCTTTTAATACTTGCATAATGTTTACAATCATGCTTTGCTTGCTTGTTTGCATCATGGCCGAGTAGATCTCTTAGTTAGGCCGAGGAGATCTATGGTGGCCGTGATGATTTGATTGTGTTGCAACTTATTGGGATTTATCTTATGGATCTTCACCTTTACTTGAGCTTAATGCATGATTACTCTACCGTACATCTAGTAATCTGATCTTAGAGAAATAGAACCACGACAGTGCTGAATCTAGATCTCAAAACTAGTATTTGGTGAGCAATAGATCATAGCCAACGAAAGCTGAGTTATGGTTTATTGTGAACAATTGAATCTTGATCACTTTAATGCATGTTTGCAATTCTAATAGCCAACGAAAGCTGAGTATATTAGGTTGTTTTAAACATAGTGGTTGGAGCCACGACAGTGGAAAGACCATACACTAGTGATTCATGTTCAAGACGGCTCTACACACATCCCATGCAACTATCTTTTCATCATTGCTCCATATGATTGTCCTTTGCCTAACTCTTGTTTTAAATTGTTTACAACCTCACTCACATTTCTTTTGTTTTTTCTCATTCTAGGTCCAAAACCATCCTCATATTGCGAGCTAGCTACAAACCAATCTCACAAGGTGTTAAGTGAGAACACTTCCTCCTCGTGTTCGACCCCGACTACAACACGGCTGTGCACTTGCAGCTCATTAGTTGGGTTTATAAATTGTGAAAATTTGAGGCAATCTAAACCCGCCATCAAGCTTTCTGGCGCCGTTGCCGGGGAGGAGTTGCTTTTCCTTCACACCTCTTGATTGATTTCAAGACTAGCTCATCTCATCTTTCACTTTTCTTTGTTTTTGTTTTTCATAAAATCTTAAAAACTCATAAAAATTTTACTTAACTCTCTCTTTGTGTGTTTCTAAGGTGCATGACAAGAAGGTCCAATCCAAATACAACCATTGAAGAAGATCTTGACATTGACCAACTTGAGCGCACACTTAGGCGACTAAGGAGAGAAAGAATGAATCCAGGCGGAGAAGGCGCGCCAAATAGGCCAAACAACCCGCCCGACCAAGAGAGGAGAGCCAATGATCCTCCTAATCCAGCAGAAGCTAGAGCTGACCAGCCAGCACCGGCCAGAGACGTTCCTCCACCCAATCCGAACGCGCCCGATGCAGCTGAGCCGCTACAGCCACCTCTTAACCCGCCGCGACCACCACCGGCGTTTGCAAATGGACATCATCGTCACGGTGACAACCAAGGGATGCCTCAAGACCAACCTCACGCACCTCCAAGGAGAGTGCCAAACGCGCAGCATCCAAGGCACCAAACTATGGGAGACTTTGATTCGTCCGATGCTTTCTTTATGGATCGGAATCCAATCCGACCGCCTCTACCTCCAAGGAACGATTTTGAGATCAAACCGCAGATCATTGCCTTGGTGAAGCAAAACCAATTCCATGGTTTGCCCACTGAGCATCCTCTTGATCACGTCGACACCTTTGAGGAGATATGTAGCACAACTCGTGTTAATGGAGTATCGCCGGATTACTTCAAGTGCAAGCTATTCACTTTTTCTCTAAGTGACAAGGCGCTAAGATGGGTAAAATCTTTACCACCTCAGTCCATTACAACATGGAATGAATACAAGGGAGCTTTCTTGAACCAATTCTACACTAAGCAAAGATCCAACTCTATAAGGAGCAAGATTTCTGGTTTCAAGCAAGATTCAATGGAGTCATTCTATGAAGCTTTGGAGAGATTCAAGGAGTACACAAGAAGCTGCCCTAACCATGGCTTTTCAGAAGGTAACCTTTGGAACATCTTTTACAATGGGATTGATCATAAATACAAGCTTTCTCTCGATACCGCGAGCAATGGTAATTTCATGACCAAGTCGGTGCCGGAGGCAAAGCTTTTGATTGAGAATCTCGCTGCTAGTGATGCCAATGCATGCCCTGACTACAATAGAAGCGTGAAGACCACGAGCTCATCAGAATCAGCTCAAATCTCGGAGCTAAGGAACATGGTCTCACAACTACTCAAAAGCCGACAAGGAGTTCACGCCATTGAAGATGCCCTAGCCACAAATGAAGACACTCTTATGGATTTCATGAGAGATGGCGCTGAAGAGAATCTAGAGGAAGTCAACTACATTGGAGGAAACTATGGGAATAGAGGATTCAATCCACCATTTCGCGCGCATCCAAACCTATCATACCGGAGCAACAATGTGGAGAATCCAAATGACCAAGTCTACCCCAATCAAGGAGCGTACAAGGAGGCCAATACCAATCCAAGCCACAACAAGTCTATCCAAGAGCCACGACAGTGGAAAGACCATACACTAGTGATTCATGTTCAAGACGGCTCTACACACATCCTATGCAACTATCTTTTCATCATTGCTCCATATGATTGTCCTTTGCCTAACTCTTGTTTTAAATTGCTTACAACCTTACCTACATTTCTTTTGTTTCACTTTCTCATTCTAGGTCCCAAAACCACCTCATATTGCGAGCTAGCTACAAACCAATCTCACAAGGTGTTAAGTGAGAACACTTCCTCCTCGTGTTCGACCCCGACTACAACACGGCTGTGCACTTGCAGCTCATTAGTTGGGTTTATAAATTGTGAAAATTTGAGGCAATCTAAACCCACCATCAAGTAGCTAACTAGTGACTTGATTTTAGGTTGATATACTCTCCAAAAGCTTGTTATATCTCCGGATATAGTATTTGATGGGCAAATCGTTTTAGGCTACGAAAGTAGACCTAAAGAGTTTTGTGAACAATCATTACTTGGATGTAATGCATGTCTCACTCTACAATGACCAACGAAAGCTGAGCCCATTGGTTTAAGAGACATAGGGGACTGGAACCACGAAAGTGGAATAATCCTTCCTTAGTGTTTTGAGTTCAAAAGAATCGGATTTTAACAAACTTTTCAATCGACTTGGCTCATGTTTTCAAAAGAGTTTTCAATAGTTCAATAATGTTGCTTGTATAGAATTGCATTGTTATTTGCTTTTGCGTGTTCTCAACAAACACAACCCCTTGCATATTTTGATTTAGCTTAGACATTTAAACTCTATGATTATGTAATGTGTGAAATCCAATCCCTTGTGGTTCGACCCCTAAATACTACAATTATATGTTGTGCACTTGCAACACTAGTTGTCTTAGGGAATTATTACTTGTACTCATCCCATAGATGCCGCATCAGCACCTGAAGAGTCATATTTTGTTTTCAAACTTTCATTTATTACTTTGTGTGTTTCCAAGATGGTCATTGGAGCTTGTTCCGTGACTCATCTCTTCTCTCTTCTCTCCCTTTATATTCTGGACGAAATTCTCTTTCATGTTATCAATCCTTTTAATCAAAAACCCTTTTGTTTTTTGAATCAAACCTCTTAGTGTGTAATATCAAAGAAATCCTTGGTATTCTTAAGGTGTGTAATATCCTTAGGAGTTCTAGGCCTTGTCCATCTCTTGGTGTGTAATATCCTTGAGATCAACAAGATTGGTGTTGCGAGATCCTTCCGCAGATCTCTTGTTATAGCCATTCAATCATCCATCATCACGCCACATCCATTCAAGTTCATTCCATCATCCCTTCATTCCATCTTTCCATCAATCCATCATCCAAACTTGCTTCAAAGTGCCGATCTATAATCAGGGGTCTATCAGAAGGTATTCCCATCGGTTCGGACGCGATGGCTTTGCGTCGGCTTACTCCTCATGGATGATCAGTCCGTTTACTTTCGTTTTTGTTTCGCTCGGGCTGGCGCTTTGGCGAGACCGGTTTTCTCGGGCTCGTGCTTTGATGAGACCGGTATTGGTTTCTCGGGCTCGCGCTTTGACGAGACCGGTTTTCTCAGGATCATACTTTGACGAGACCCGGTTTTGTTTCGTCGGGACGTTTGGCCAGAATGTCGACGTGTACCTTTGAAGGTGAATAAAATTTACAATGCTCATCTCGTGAGACGGATTATAAAATTTTATTGGAGTTATAGCTGAACATTTGGAAAGGCTGACTACGTACCCATGTCGGGATGAAGCCATTCGTAGTTCGTTGCGACGAGTAGGGAGTACTACGCCACCTTTTTTTTTGTTCTCGGTCATTTTTGTATGCGGAGATGTTTACCGGACTTACCGTTTCGGCGGCGGAGGCAGATCATCTGGGCGAGGGAGTGGTTCAGGCGCGTTCTTCTCGGCGTCGTCATCTTGATCTTGGCGCGACATATTTTTACGTCCGCGCTGGTTTGCAGCTCGTCGATTTTCGTCCCGGCATTCAACATCACTTTGGCTTTGCGGAATATATTCTTTGTTGTACTCTAGTATCATGTTGTTGACGTGCCTTTATTCTTCTCTAGTATGACCGGTTTGTCCGTGGAGGTTGCACCATTTGGTATCGTCGTTACCCTCTCCTTCGTGTCGTGGAAGACTCAAAAGTCGAGGGTTGAGGTATAGAAGTTTGTAGAAGTGATAATCTTATTGATAGGTGAATGATACAATTTATACAAGAGCTCCTACGCTAGGGCTTTACATTACTAGTCAATGAGAATATACTTATTTACATAAATAGCTGCATAAGATCAGGGATGATTGATATGATATGATTTATCATTAATACGCCCCCTCAAGATGGAGGTGGGTGAACAACTCCAATCTTGTTCGACAACTTGGTGAAGGGTTATTCGTGACAATGGCTTTGTAAGAGCATCAGCTAACTGATCTTTTGTATTGACATGGACCACCCGAAGCGTACCTGATTGAACTTGATTTCAAATGAAGTGGTAGTCTAAGGCAAGATGCTTCATCCGTGAGTGAAAAACGGGATTGGCACATAGATACGTGGCGCCAGCGTTATCACAATAGATCACCGGAACTGTCGGAAGCTGAATATGTAGTTCTTGGAGTAGCGAGACGATCCAAATGAGCTCAACGGAAGTATTCGCAACAGACATATACTCTGCTTCCGTTGATGACCGTGCAACTCCACGTTGTTCCTTTGACGACCAAGACACCGGTTGACTTCTAAGATAAACAATGTGAGCATTGGTGGAGACATAATCATCAGAGTCACCTCCCCAATCAGCATCTGAGAATGCGTGAAGAGTCATCGGATTATTTTTAGGTAAGAAAATCCCATGAGCCGCAGTCCCAGCCAAGTACTGAAGCACTCTCTTTACCGCTTGCCAGTGATTTGTCGTGGGTTTGTGCATGAAGAGAGACAAGCGATTGACAGCATACAAGAGATCAGGTAGAGTAAACGCCAAGTATTGAAGAGAGCCGACAACACGTCTATACTCTGTCGGATTTAATTGTTGGGCCTGGGCTTGGTACGTGGTTGCTGTTTGAGGGACATTAGGTGAGGTGTTATTTGTGGGTGGCTGTGGCTGGGTTGTGGGTTGCGGCCCCTTTTCAGTAGAAGCAGTGGGCTTAGAGGAAGTGTGAGGAGAAACGGAAGAGTTTGGGAGATAAGGCAATACCTGATTCAACGACGGCGGCGGCGGCGGAGCGTTGTGGTGAAGGTCTACACACGGGTCCGTTGGCGGAGGCAGAACAGGCGACGGGAGAAGAGGCTGAATTATCAAGGAACCAGTAGCTACAGTGGCATCTTCTTCATCTGGAGACATGTTATCTGGTTTCAGGTTGACTGAGAACGGGAACTGATTTTCGTCAAAGATGACATGTCTAGAGGTATACATTCTGCCCGACGGTGTGTGGAGACAGAGATAGGCGCTTTGTGTAGTAGAATACCCCATAAACACACACTGAAGAGAACGATCTTCCATCTTGTGCCGTGTATAGGGACGAAGCCACGGATAGCACACACATCCGAAGACTTTGAGTTTGTGATAATTCGGTTGCATCCCAAACAGCTTCTCAAACGGTGACTGGAGATCCAGAACTGGAGTCGGAAGTCTATTGATCAGATAGACCGCCGTAGAAAATGCAAACGGCCAGAATTTCTTAGGAACCGCTGCCGTTGATAAGAGTGTGAGCCCCATCTCGACGATGTGCCTATGCTTCCTCTCTGAGACGCCATTGTGTTCAGGCGTATGGGGCGGTGAGGTGAGATGTGAAATCCCACTTGTCTTGAGATAGTCCCTGAGTGCTTTAAATTCTCCTCCATTGTCTGTGAAGAATGTTCCAATCCGAGTTTGAAACTTGTTCTCCACCAGCGGCTTGAAAGCCATGAACGTCTCTTTCACTTGGGATTTTCTCTTCAATGGATAGAGCCAAGTATATCTGGTATAATGATCAACAATCACCAGGTAATACTTGAAATCATCCACTGAGATAATAGGTGAGCTGCATACATCTGAGAAGAGAATTTCAAGTGGTCAGGTTGATGTAATAGTTGTTTGCGAGAATGGTAACTTGTGACTTTTATTGATGCAGCAATAGAACAAGACATTTTTGATTGAGAAGAAGAAGCAACTGGGAGAGAGAAACTCGAGACAATGTTGTTTAAAATGGAGGACGACGGATGGCCTAGTCGATTATGCCACGATGAAAGTGTAGTTGTTGGATTCGTGGATGCACCAAAAGCTGTTTTAAGCAGTGAGACAGGCCATTCATAGAGCTCCTTATTCGTTCTGCCTCGGATTAACGGGACACCCGTGTGAAGATCCTTCACCTGAAACGAAGCAGGGAAGAATTCGACTGAGACTCGGTTAGCATTGCATAATTGATACACAGATATGAGATTCTTAGCAACACGAGCTAAGCATAACACTTTATTTAAGGTCAAATCTCTAGTTTGAGAGGGAAGAGATACTGAACCCGTATGTGTGATTGGAACTGTAGATCCATCCGCAAGGATCACATCATCTCCACTATTGTATGGCTGATGCAGAGATAAATTGTGAAGATCCGAGTTGATATGGTGAGTAGCACCGCTATCAACTACCCAATTCGGTGGTAAGTATGGAGACGCGACTGCTACA